AAACTGTACATATATTTTCGTAAATCTATGTATTGCACTCCCGCCGTGAATCGGCGTAAATTTAACATTCTCTCCCGCGGTACTGTGGCGAAACGTACTGAGCTGGAGAAGGCGATGGCTGCAAGCCTGTGTGATGTGGACTGCATAGCCACAGTGGGCAACATGTGGCACCACATTCGCGACCAGGTGACAGCTGCTGCAGAGGAGACCATCGGGTGCGCAAACTGTAAGCGGCCTGATTGGTTTGATGACAACAATGTGACGATTGACGCATTGGTGTCGGGGAAGAATGCAGCATTTGCTGCACATGTGGCAGACCCCAGTGACTTGGGGAAGAAGAGTCAGTTTCGCAAACTTCGACGGCGACTGACCCGAGAGCTCCGTCGCATAAAAAATGCATGGTGGACGGAGAAGGCGAAGCAGATGGAATGCTACGCCGAACGCCGCCAACACAAGGAATTTTTTGACTCCTTGAAGGCGGTGTATGGACCGAGATTGGAGCCGCTGAGGACACTGATCGATGGTAGTTCAGGCGCTACCTGCACACAGACTGCAGACATAATGCAGATCTGGCGGAAACACTTTGACTGTCTCTTGAACAACCGTTCAGAGATCGACTGGCCTACATTGAATGGCCTCAAGCAGCACGATGTGAAGGCGAGTCTGGCGGACACGCCGACACTGGATGAGACGCAGAGAGCACTTGCTCAGCTGCGAAACGGCAAGTGTGCCGGAGCCGACGGGATCCCCTAATGAAGTATTGAAACACGGCGGACCCGCGTTGGTGACTGCGCTGCACCACTTGGTGCAACGCGTATGGATTGAGGAGGAGGTGCCTCCTGAGCTGAAGGATGCCCTTGTGCTACCACTGTACAAGGGCAAAGGTAGCAAGCAATGTTGCACGAATTATCGTGGCATCAACTTGCTGAGTTGTGTGGGCAAGGTGATTGCCCGAATCCTGCTCAACCGCCTCGTCAGTCAGGTTGTGGAACCTAACGTGGCGGAAGAGCAGTGTGGATTCCGTTCGGGTCGCAGCACTATAGATATGGTGTTTGCGGCTCGTCAGTTGCAGGAGAAGTGCAGAGAACGACACCAGCCATTGTACTCGCTTTTTGTTGATTTCACCAAGGCATTTGATACGGTGAACCGCGAGGCATTGTGGCTAGTGTTGGGTAAGTTTGGTTGCTCGCGTAAGTTTGTAAGTTTAATTGGATGTCTGCACAGTGGTATGCGAGCGAGGGTGCAGCTGAGTGGAGAGACCTCGGATGACTTTGCAGTTGTCTCTGGTGTGAAGCAAGGCTGTGTTTTAGCTCCTGCCCTGTTTAATATATATCTTCATGCAATGCTGTCATGTGCTTTTGATGTCGCTGTGCTTACGGTGTTCGTGTGGAGCATCGTATTGATCGTGGGTTGTTGAACATCCGTCGTTTCGGTGCGAGAACTCTAGTCTGTGAGACAGCTATCCGTATGTTACTGTTTGCTGATGACTGTGCGTTGTTTTCACACAGCGCGGATGAGTTGCAGCACATGACTAGTGCTCTGGTTTCGACAGCGGCCAAATTCGGGCTCACCATCAACACAAGCAAAACTGTCTGTCTCTTTCAGCCTTCACCGGAGGTGCAATCTTCAATATTGCCGCGAATCAGCATTGGTGCTGTAGTAATGAAAACCACCTCCCGCTTCTGCTACCTTGGGAGTGTGATGTCGACTGATCAGCAGCTACACAGTGAGCTGCGTATTCGCGTATCGAAGGCAGCGGCGGCATTCGGGAAGCTTGAGTACCGAGTGTGGAACAACCATCAGCTTACCATTGGCACGAAGCTGATGGTGTACAAATCCATGGTGCTGTCCGTTCTTCTGTACGGTAGTGAAAGGTGGACGATGTACCGTCGGGATGTGCGATATCTCGATCGGTTCCATCAGCAGTGCTTGTGACGGATTTTGCGCATCGGCTGGGGCGACAGAGTTGCAGACACGGAAGTGTTGCGACAAAGTGGGATGTATGCAGTGGACTGCATACTTTTATTGAGACACCTGAGGTGGCTGGGTCATGTGAGACGTATGGATTCGACGCGGATACCAAAACAACTCTTATACGGTCAGCTGAGTATTGGGAAGCGGCATGCTGGGAAACCAAAGTTACGTTACCAGGACATGATTAAAGTGAGCCTCACACGTTCTAATCTTGATTGCAGATCATGGGAATCGAAGGCGGTTGATCGGCGTGCATGGCGCGATCTAATCACGAAGGCAGTTGCTGAAGTGCGGGAGAAAGCCCTCATGCATGCAGAGAAGAAGCGGCAAGTGCGGAAGCGGCAAGCACCGATGAATTGTACTCCATCGACATCGAGCGCATGGTGCTGTAGAACATGCGGTCGCGAGTGCCTTAGTCAGGCAGGCCTAGTGAGCCATGAGAGAGGTCACTCGGGACCACTGCCGAAGCGACGACGGGTCCTGCAGAGAACGTAGGCAGAACCGGCGCAGCGTTTGTAGGCACGCTGCATTCGATTTACTAACCGCGTGCTTGCATGCTAAGTCTCTTTATTTCAGGTGGTGGGTTTACAGTTTTTACCTTAATGCTTTTCTTTCTCATATAAATGTCTACCTGTACTCTATTCCATTAACTTGCACACTTCGCTTAAGCCAATTGTATTCGATTTCGATAACATTTTGTGTTCGTGGCATTCCGTAAAGTATGCTTTCTGACCTCGTGAACTTATCTAGGATTCGTTTGTAAACAACTTATTTCATATGCTCATTAACTTAAGGTTTATGTCACCGTTTCCTTATGCATTAATCGAGTTATTTTCTTTGTCTCTCTCCCTCTCTCTCAAGTGATTGGCTGTTGTTTGATATCCCCGGTGTGGCTGCGCTTGATGTGCATGTTGACAAGGTGCCTACCTGTCTATTACCCACTACCTCGTCCATACTGGCTCCAGGAGACAGTTGGTCGTTGCTGGAGGGGACGGGGTGCACGGTCCTTGTGGCCGTGCTAGGCTCGAAGAGTGGTTCCATGCACTCAGTGTGGAGCGGACTACGGTCCAGCCACCGCCTTGTGTGCGCTTGATTCCCCAAATACAGCATGCTTGTGTTTGTCTGTGAAGGAGTGTGGGCCGGCTCCGTTGATGAAACTTGGCTCCCATCCATATGCCTCCCGGTCTTATTCCTTCGGGTTTACACTGGATATGGGGTGTGTCTTTGGAGCAATGTGTGGTGCAGCGCAAGCCACTAATGGTCCCTCTGTAGGCGCAGGCGTCCTGTGGCTGGCCACAGTGACAGGCAAATCCGAAAGCAGATGCCGCCAACCATGTATTTCATTCATGTATTGCGGCACAACAGCGGAAGTGTTTTCCCACCTCTAGCTGACGTGTACAATGATGATGATGATGTCTGCCTGAGTCTATTTGGGACGAAACTTCGCCAAGGCCAAATAAATCCCCTACTGTTCACTAGATAAATGGATTGTTGCAGAATACAATTATCAGTAAAATGCAGTGTCGTAAAATACTAAAAGAATGATCGTCTCAGTTTCGCTACACGCAATTAAAGTTACATGTTCATTCAGCTCAAAGCTTCAGCAAAAAATGTCTACTTTGCTAGAGCTTCAATTAGCCCTCCTGAAGAACGGAAGGCCGTTACGTTATGACCTTGTTGTGTTACATCCATCGTTGTTATCCTTAGTATCCTGTCGACGTGAGCCAACGTGACTCTATCCAACGTGCTTCACTGCACCGAACTGAATTAAACAACTGGGTGAGTAAATCCACGGGCCATAACCGTTGAAGGTTCGGTGATTTTGAAAACCGACAGTTCTTTACACCTAGTCGGCACAACACCGAAACACCTCATTCTCTGACATTCTGTGTTTGGTAACTGGGGTGTCGGAGTCCCGCGAGTGCTTCCGCACACTAACGGTAGTGAGAAAATGAACGACCCGGGACAAAGATTCAAAGGTTCTTTTAGATTGGGAAACCATTTCGTTATATAGCCCACCACATAGACGTGCAAGCCAACCAGAGTACGGAAATCGTGTGGACAATTAAAGTCAATAAGAACTGAACCAATCAAGTGCACACAAATCACGTAAAGTGAGAGTGATAGCGTCAGAGTAGGGCTGCGCTCTGAAGTCCACAACAACGACTCCAAATAGCTCATAGGGATAGCAAGATGATGCGTTAAAACAAACGTCAGTGAGCCACCATAGCAAAACGAAAGTCTGCAGTCATGAACGGCTACACAAGCATACGTGTGTTTTTATTGCTCCTCTAACAGTAACACCTGTCATGCATGTAGCTCCGAACCACGAAGCCTTGTCATTCAAATGTTGTACACTTCATATTCCGCCGCCCTTACCTTAGATGAGGTAAGGGAATATGTACATACTCTTTGTGGCCATTTCGGTCATGAACTTAGAAAAGAAGCGAGAAACGTGAGGGTCTTGAAGGGGTGGGCGTCCTCGCGGTATACTCAGCCCGCGCGCGACTGGTGGTGGTCGCGCGGCAGCGAAGCGCCGTTACGGCGTATAAGCTGAAACATTTCATTCATTTCATTTCACAGATGTAAGATCTCATAGAATTCTTGTAGGCGCTTCATACTCTTATCATCGGAATCCAACCATATACAGTGGATCGTCACGCACTCGACGAAACTGGTTGCCATTTTTTAATCAGAAGCCAGCGATCTCATAACAGACTCTTGGGCGTTGTTCGAAGTCCGATACACGATCACCTGGTTACTCATGTCCCCGACGTATATCACTATATCCCCATTCTTTCCCGTATGGATATGCTAGGATACGAACGAGGACTGTTGACGGTTCTGTGAGTAGAACTTACTTTTGCTATCAGCCGAGCAGCGACGTTACTCCTTATCTCGGTTCTACTGTGTTCCTAACCCCTAAGTTTTCACTCTTAATAACTGCTCTACTTAACAAATCAGTGCATCACCTATCCGAGCGCCCGTGACCCCGTTCGCGCTTTCAATTTTTTCATTCCTTTCAGCCCATTGTTGTTTTCGCTCATCATCTTCCAACTTTGCCACCGATGGAAAAGTTAGCATATCTACCACAGAAGTTCGGTGTACCTCTTCTGCGCGGTATTAGGCCATCAACATACCTCACTCTCAAAGCAAATTACTGCGCTCCCCCGCCTCAGGAGCCATTTGCGCCTATCCCGGGGCGCTTCCCTAAATGGGCAGCTAACGGAGAAGAGGCATTTGGCTTCTTGAAAAATGGTAATTTGATAAAGTTAACTCCTTGCTTCTCTAGGCGCTAATGTGTTTGTCCATGGTGGGGCAGCTACGCCATCTATCATTTTAAAGGAGTTTTATGATTATGTCGTTGCCAAAGATTTGAGAGATATCAAGCTTTTCCACATCCATACGGAAGGCCCTTTCCCTTTCCATGATCCGGCTGCTGGGGGTCGGTTCCGTTCAAATTCCCTGTTTACTGGTGAGTGCTTTGATGTTATCTACTCTCTGGTATAGGTAGCAATTGCAGGGAAGCTATAAAAGATGGTCGCGCCGATTACACTCCCATCTTCCTGAGCGAGATACCTCTGCTTTTTCGTCGGAAATTCGTTCAGCTTGACTTGGCCCTACTGAATGTAACTCCGCCAGACAAGCATGGATATTGTTCCCTTGGCCCAAGTGTGGACGTGACACGTGCCGCTATTCAGAACGCCACCCACATCGTCGGTATGCCTACCATTCTTTTTTCGGTTATTCTTGTATTCTTCTAACAGCTCAGGTGAATGATCAGCTTCCTCTCACACGAGGTGATGCGAGTATTCATTTCAGCAATCTGACCGTGTTGCGCCCTGGCTCTCAACCTTGTCACCAAATGCAACCCAGAGAAGCGTCAGAAGCGGAGGATAAAATCGGCTCATACATCGCCGAGGAACTGGTGGAAGATGGATCTACTTTGCAAACTGGTAAATGGACTTTTCCTTTCCTTGGCTCTTTTCATTTATACGCGTCATCTGCCACGTAGCCATACCCACCAGGTTCGTTTCAGAACAATCAGTGATGCGAAAGTAGCAGAAATATATTTCCCCTATAAAACTTGGCATTCTCCAGCTTCTCTGTGACCGTCAACAATTTAGCGAATTTCCTCAGTCGATGATATTTCAGAGGGATGCTTTGCCATATTATACAGTTTACTAAGATCATTATGCAGCGTCTCTGTTGCAAGCTGACACTTGAGGCCAATTTTCCCTTTGGAAACATCACAAGTTCTCTTATGTATCCGCCGTTGGATCCATGCGTCATTTTGGCTAGAAACCCGAGGGCGATGAATGCCGATGACTCACAGCGGATTATCTCCATTCTAGAAGTGTCAAGTGCTGCACACGAAGAATCCTTTTCGATTACTGCCAGCGTCCTCCTTTAAGTCTAGCACTTTTTCACTCAATCATTAGTGCTGCGTACACTACCATAGACTTAATTCCACCTAATAGGTCGGGTGATTTCGTGTGATATCCAACTCCCTACAACTCTTGAGAACCATGTGGCACTTAACCCCTCACCTCCTGCGCCTTGTGCTGATGCACACCTGCTTCTGGTTGGTACAAGTTGTGTCACTTGTCTTAATGTACTGCCTTATTCAAGACGGGACCACTCAAGACTTGTTATCCGTGTCAACACTTCTGACTTGCTTTTCTCAGGAATCGGTGCTATTCCAGACGCTGTCCTCTCAAAGTTGACAAATCATAAGCACTTGGGTATCCACACAGAAATGTTCTCCGATGGGGTCGTACAGCTTGTGCAGCTTGGCGCTGTGACTAACGCTCGCAAGAAGATGCGTCCGGGGAAGTTAGTTTCCAGCTTCGTCATCGGTACAAACAAGGTATTCCAATTCCTCGATGATAATCCGATGATAGGTGAGATTTCCTTTTTTCACATTTCCCATACATACACTTCACACGTTAACCATCTTTTAGCGATCATCAGACGGTAGTCACTGGTTAGCGCTAAATGTTGTCGCCTTATTGGAATTGTGACTATTGGGTCAATTACATCTCTCCTCCAGTTCTTTTACCACCCTTACAGTGCACATTTTTGCATTGGCTCTATTGAACCGACGCCTTGTTCCGTTCAACGAAACAATTTCTAACATGATACTGGTCGATGTACGTACTCCAGCTGCTTGCGTGTTTGGTTCACCGTTCGTCTGCATTTCAAATTTTTCTCTCATCAGCCGCATTGCCTTCCGATCTTTTTTTGCCTGTCAGCTAACGGTTATCGCTCTCGTACCTAAGCAGACTTTTCTCGTTTACATTCTGCGTGTCTTCCCTACAGCCATCAGTCGGGTGGTTGTTCGTATAGAAGCACAAAATCTTTATGGATTATCGCAACCCAGTATTTATCACTGTTATAACTTACGCATACGTAGTGGGGACATTTACGCTTCTGTGGACAGCTCAAACTCGGTTTCCTTCTAGTGGCTTTGTAAACACGCCCGTTGAATAATTGTGGGCTAATATTTCCTTCTCCCTAATCCTGGCTTGTCCACGATGAGCATAAAAGTGCCACCGAAGTTTGAGTTGAAGCTTGTCCACTTTTTGCTTGTTCTCATTGTTTATTATGCACCCTCTCACACAATTATGACAACA